AATGTTCTTAGATGACTGATGTTTGGTTTTCTTCCTTTAAGTAGTTCGTAGGGTGTCTTTCCTAGGAGTGGGCGGATCATAGCTCGGTTAATTATGTAGCACGCTGTGTTAAGTGCTTCTGCCCATAAGTTTCTTGCCAGACCACTAGAAATCAGCATTGTTCTAGTCATATCCTCCAGTGTCCTATTCTTCCGTTCTACTACCCCATTTTGTTGAGGAGTTCTAGGAGCGGAGAAGTTGTGGTCTATGCCTCGTTCTTTGCAGAATTCCTCAAATAGTGAGTTGTCAAACTCGGTTCCATGATCGGATCGAATCTTAATTAGGTGCAACCCTGTTTGATGCTCAATTTTCCTTACAAAAACAACAAACTCATTAAACGTATCTTTCTTACTTGCAAGAAAGATAGTCCATGTAAATCGTGAAAAGTCATCAACAATAACTAACACATATTCTTTGTTTCCCCGACTTCGGACTGACATTGGACCACACAAATCCATATGAATTAGTTCAATGGGCTGGCTTGTGCTCACAAAATTCTTTGTTTTAAAAGATGATCGAGATTGTTTTCCGGTGGCACAGGCATAGCAAATATGATCAAGGGAATATTTGATTTTAGGTAGCCCGACTACCAATTCATTATTTTTGAGTTTATTGATTAACGAAAAGCTAGCGTGGCCCAATCTTTTATGCCAGAGTAGGGGATCATTGTCAATAACGCTTAGGCAGGTTAAACTTATACTTGGCAATAAATCGAGATCAACTTTATATGTATTTTCAAGTCTCTTGCCTTCTAGTATGACTTGCTGAGATTCGTTATTGACAATGCGGCATACATTATGATCAAAAACTACACTGTTACCTCGATCGCAAAACTGAGAAATGCTAAGCAGATTAAACTTTAGACCCTTGACTAGGAAACCATTGTCTATTGCATGGTCGGGTGACTTTCCAATTTTCCCCACAGCAATGATTTCTCCTTTGCTGTTGTCTCCAAATGTCACCTTTCCACCACTAAATGGCCGTAGTGAGAGGAACAAAGATTTATCTCCGGTCATGTGTTTAGAACAACCACTGTCAAGGAACCAGTGATTGTTCCCCCTCACTCGGCGCTGTTCCAGGATTAAGGTTTAGTGCGTGGAACCCAGACCTGCTTGAGTTCCATTTTATATTGGTTTGAGGAATATTTACTGAAATTAAGGCTTCTCTCTAAGGCCTGTTGTCGAGAGTGACATTGATACATAAGATGTCCGTCTTTGCCACAATATCCGCAAATCCGGCTGTCATATGTATCAACATATTTGGTTTTCCGATTTCCGAAATGATCTTTGCCCCTTTTATAAAATTCTCGGTTAGGTGTTTGACCATAACTTGTTTTGTGCCTTTGAACCAGCTTATCGAACCAGGTTGGTCCAGTTCTAGGTTGTCTATGGTACGGTCTAGAACTGGTTTGTTCTCTAGTTCTATTACCATAAAAGGGTTGGTTCTGAAAACTCGGTTTTTGATTTGTTTGAGAATTTCTTGGAATGTATCCGAGACCAGCAGTCTCGTTTTCCTTTCTTTTGTACCGAGAGGGTCCAGTTCTAAAATGCTGTCTAGACCTGGTTCTTACCTTGGTACTATATGGTTGGTATTCCGGTTTGTTTTTTAAAACCCCGTCTCTCGTCCTCAAGGCGATTGAGATGATTTATGAGCAAGGCAATGTCCGGAATTTTTCTTAGAAGTTTTTCTTCGTCATTAACTTGTTTATTCATATTATCGAGCTTGAGTGAGCAAATGAGGTTATCTTGTTCCAAAACCACTTCACTATACTTGAGCCTTTCATCTATTAACTCTCCCACTTTTGTTTCCAGCCTTATCTTGGCTCTAGTGGCTTCCTCGAGTTTAGACTCAAGTTCGGTGATTTGTGATTTAAGATTATCGTTTTCAGAAAGACTTTGATTTAGTTCGATTGTTAATCTTTTAAAAATCTTTCGGACCTTGCCTTTAGAGAGGGAATCAAATTTAGAAAGAAAGCTCTCCAAATTTACCTCGAAATTCTCTTGGTCGGATTCTACATCGGAATTAGCCATGAGGCACAATCCAGCATGATTTAGGCCCTTTTCTTCTTCTTCTTCATCGGATGAGTCTCCCCAGGCTGCCATCATTGCCTTTTTGAGGTCTCTGTTGAACCCTTTATCTTCACCGGACCTCCGATGGGAACTGGTCTTGTTCTTGTCGTAGGCTCTATCATTTTTCTTTTGAGGACAATCTTTTGCCCTGTGCTCAAAGGAACCACAAACGAAACAACCTTGGTTATTAAAAGATTGGAAACCCTTTTTACCTTGTTTATTTCGGTTGCCTTTGAATTTTCGGTACATCTTTCCGAATTATTTGGCGAACATGCTCATTTCATCTTCCGATTCACTTCCAGATTCTTCTTCTTCTCGAGCCTTGAGAGCTATTCCTCGCTCTTTTCTCACATTTTCTGCATCTTGTTCTTCTTGTAGGCCTAGCTCATATGTCATGAGTGAGCCGGTCAAGTCTTCTAGCGTCATGGTAGAGAGATCTTTAGCTTCTTCTATTGCTGTAGTTTTAGGCTTCCATGCGGATGACAAGCTTCTCATAACTTTTCTCACCTGATCTTCTACAGTAATATCTTTTCCAAGTGCTGAGAGCTCATTGATAATATTAGTAAAACGTGTAATCATATCCCTAATTGATTCTTTAGGCTTCATCACGAATAATTCGTAATTATGCATAAATATGTCAATTTTGGATCTTTTTACACGCGAGATACCCTCATGCGTAATCTCAAGTAAATCCCACATTTGTTTTGCGGATTTGCATCCAAGAACACGGTTGTGCTCAGCCGGACCAAGTCCACAAATCAAATATTTCAATGCTTGAGCATTATGCTCGAGTTTACAATAATCATCAGAGGTATATTCAGATTTGGGTTTAGGGATAACCTTACCTTCGACATCTTCTTTAGTAATGATGTTATCGCCTACTTCAATTACGTTCCATACCTGGTAGTTCTCAGCCTTGATGAAGTTCTCCATTCGACTCTTCCAGAATTGATAAAATTTGCCGTTGAACAACGGTGGTCGTTGAGTCGAGTATCCTTCCTCCAATCGTTCAACCGTATTCATGCTGCCGGATCTCTTCCCAAGGTTTTAACCTTTCTGTGGTGAAGACCGGCTCTGATACCAATTGATGAAACGGTTAACAACACAAGAGGGGGGGGGGGGGTGAATTGTGTGTGTGTGGAACCGTGGTAGTTTTTCGCACAGTTCTAGTGTGGGGTTCAGGGAATTACGAAATAATAAAGTGCACAAGGATTTAACGAGGAAAAATCCCTTGGCTCAAAGGGATTAAAAAACCTCGACCTCCCTCGGAGGAATTTGAACAACTTCACTAAAAAGCCTTTGAATAATTACAAGGGAAACTCTCCTAGTCTACCCTTGAGCCACCCCAACTCTATCCTCTCTAGGAAGAGTTATGCTTCTCTACCTTGTGGGTAGAGAGCCTCTCAGCTTTACAACAAAGCTCTCACAACACACTAATTGACCCGAGGATGCTACACTTAGTCAATCCTCAAAAAAACCCAATTACAATATGAAGAAAGGAAAAGGAAACTCTGTTTGGAACTCCGTGAGCAGGTTCAGGTGCCTTGGACTTAGTAGATATTCTTGTGTATATTTCTCAATAGAAGCTTGGTCAAGCACGCCCTTTCGTCTGGTCTTTAGTCCAATATATATAGCATCCGTAGCCTCTTCTTTCCTTTTATTCAAAGATCTTCCGGCTCACAAATATGGTGATCCTCGGTCAACCATATATATATGGAAGTAAGTGGATACGTGCATACTATGAGTAAATCACTCAATAACAAAACAAATATGGAGAATATTACGTATTGCAATGATAATTCCACATGAATATATATATCATCACATATAAGGAGAATACTTTATTCTCTTAATATAAGCATGCAACGGACATTATGTAGCAACAACATTTTTATACAATCAATGATTAGTTCTCTTTAACAAGTTTGAATATGTAACGATCATATAAGTAAGATATTCAAATAAGGTGCTACAGATCATGCAAGCCAAGATACTTTCCAAAATTTATCATTTAATATAATGACTTTTTAACATTAAGTGATAAGGAAATATTTACTTAGTGGATCCAAATATGCTACGGTCAATTTATGCAGGATATTTATGTAACATAAACAATGATTCTTTCCATAAGCTATAAAGCTATATAGGCCAACTCATAAAGGTGAGTGCTTAGTCATACATGGAAAGATATTTAAATTGTGCCACGTACATTAAGAATATGCATGATCAATCTAGGCACGTAGATGAGGTATTATCATGCAGGCACAGATTAATTTATTCATTATGCACAACAATCAGTCATATAGATCAGAACTAAGTATAGTTCTAATTTTCGTTCCTAATAGAACTGAGAGCAGTTCTGTCCGCCATTCCACCTACATGGTTAGTCATCAACAAAACAACATATTCAACACTAGCGACCGAGCAGCGGGTGGTGGCATGTCGTCCCGTGATCTGCCTCTACTCAAGGCAGAGCTGCTTGGTGATTTTGAGCGCCGCGAGGAGTGTAGCTTGTGCTTGGAAGAATTCCTGCAGGGGGCAATGGTCACTCAATTGTCGCTGTGGTGTTCCCCGCACATGTTCTTAAATGGTTTCTCAAGAGGAAGACATGCCCTTTGTGTCGAACTAGATGCTGCTCTGATGACGAAGACGACGAGGGATACTATTAGGATGAGGAGGGTTATTATGAGCTAGGATTACAATGAGTATAAAACTTATGTAGGTTTATTCTAAACTGGTGTGATTAAATAGGTGTCTGGTCATACGTGTATTATACAAGTATTGAAGTTTGATTTGATATAGTCTGAGTTGGTGCATTTATGTCTCTATAGTATGATCTTATATCAAATGTAGTAAATCAAAATATCAATTATCCAACCTGGCTAGTACAAATTAAATACTCAAATCATCATCATATATAATAATAATTAAAATAAACAAAAAACAAAGTAAGGTGTTTGTGAATATGAAAAATGAACATACATCTTGAGTTGCAGTTCTCCAATTCAATCAATAAAGATTGAAGTGAGTGCTTATTGGTGAGGTTAAGTTTTACACAATGTCCGGCCAGGGCAAGAGATGCACACTTGTTTTTGTCTGTATAAATGTATGTATCAATGCATCTCTTAGCTCCATATATCAATCCGGAGATGGATTTGATCGAATAACCTCCCATCAACAATTAAAATATAAATATATATAATTAAATATTCACTTCTGATCGATCAGATTATAAAATTAAAGCATCCATCCTGGGAGCACAGCATTAACATTTTGTGCATTAGTCACTGCTGTCATTTGGCTTGAAGTAGCCGCAGCTACGGGATTGAACCTGCAACCACATTAATATCTTTATATATATGTGCATCCATTGATTCTAATACGGACCATATTTATATATTTTATATTTATGCATGAAATAAAATGGAGGTACATTACATCACTCGCAATTGAATAAGTTTCGTACTTTTAATGCGATTAATTAAGTCGTACGCAAGAAATTATGAACATATAGTCCTATCAGTGCACATTGGTTAATTTTTTGTTCTATTTAGAGCCATTACTAGCAATTAAAAATATCTCATTATCTCTCATTCAATTTATTTATCTATGAATAAAAAGGTTATACTTTCCACAAAATATATATGACCGTTGTTTCTTCCTAATTTAATGGGGGAAGCGCAAAGATGTCCTTAGCTGCACCGCACATATTATCTGTTAAAGTTTAACCGAGTATATATTTAGGGCTAGGTATGTTTTGAATGTTACTTGTTCTGGTGATGCTTGACGTTTAGTATTATGTCTTACGACTAATACTTAAGCTATATACCGATATACGTATTGATCTTTAAAGGCTATACAATATTTTTAGATCACAAAAACTAGAGTCCCCTTCGTGTACACGTCGGGTTACACGCCGGTCAAATTGTCTGTATACAAACAGTTTGATCGGCTAGAGAGACAAATTGACCTGCGTTTTAGGAAGAAAATCGATTTCCATACAGACAAAATATAAAGAGTTGTCTGTATCACAGACATTTTAAACCTGAATTTTTCATAAAGTGTGTGTGATACAGACATTTTTTTTATTTTTGTCTGTGTGAAAATCGGTTTTCTTCGTAAATCACCGCTCAATATCTCTGTGTAGTCGATCAAATTGTCTGTACACAGACAATTTGACAGGTGTGTAACCCGGAGTGTAAAACTTGGCGTGTATGGATTTATATGTTGGGTTTAATAAAGCATGAAAATCATAGAAGAAGTAGATATGTTCGCTTCAGAAAAATTGCGTCAAATTAAAGCTATTGCGTCCTATATTTGTAATAATTACATATTTATGACTAAAATGAAGATTGTTTACAAAAATGTGATTAGTCATTAGACTAGTAAAGAAATTATAGTAACTTATGTTCAATTTTTAAACTTAAGTTATTATGATTTATGACACTACATTGTAGTAACTAATAATCATATTTGTGTAAATAAGTTTTATTTGAATAATATTTTTGTAAAAAATCCTATTTGTTAAATGATTGTGTTCATTGTTTTAATTTGATACGCATATTCGACTTTCTATTAAACTAACCCAATTTTTGTTAGATCACAAGACTAATGGATTTATATTTTGGGTTTAAAAAGATTGCATGAATGACTAGCTAGTAAGTGTTTTCGATCAATATTACATCAATGACCAATAAATAATACATGCACATGATGGGGTGGACATTGGGACATGCATATATACTAGCAGTAAACCAGTGAAGTCTCTGCACATTTCCCCATAAATATCGCCTTCTCATTAACTATGGTATATATAGTTGCACATACGTACCCGATGTGCAAAGTGGAGTCACACTCCAAGGGTTGAAAGAAAGCATGATGGTCAGTGTGTTGGTGGTGGTTGTATGCACCACTTTGCTCACCCCATTGCTGTTGAAGGTTATTTTCCACATAAATTTCTTCAAGCTGCAAATGCATTTATCATCTTATTTGTACATGGAAATAATTGTTAGATATAATACCGAAAACCTATGCAAGAATCTGCTTTCTTCGTTCAGAAAGGACTACTATGTTTTAATTCTTAAAACAAGTGATAATGTATCATGAATTTAGGGTACTTTACTTTTTGATTAAAATTACTTGCATGGTCCCATATTAAGAGAGAAAAAACTCAGCCGGCCCACCTAGTGCAGTGGCATAGTCATAAATGTATTTTTAAAGAGATGGAGGCTTGAAAACTCCATTCTTAAGAGCAGAAACTTAAAATTATAACATATTTAATTTCTTACATATTGTAAATGTTTACACACACATATTGCACATAGAAATTGCACTTTTTGAAAAGAAGAAAAACTTTGATTTATTTACAAAAAATGTCACCACATTTGTGATTCATTTTAATGTATTTTTAACATATTTAGATCTTTATTGAATCATAAATTTGATGCTCCAGATACAGTCTTACTTTTCATGGAAAGAGCTATTATTATTATTTGATCTAATATATATTTGTGTGTAAATAAGAATTTCATGAAGAGGCCGGTCACCTCACCATTTTCACTAACCCACCTCAAGTTTGGTTAAAGATTTATTTTCATGATTATATTCAATTCTTAGGTTGTAGTGATAATAAAAGTACATTCATATTAACTTTAGTCATAACTATATCCATAAATTTTATTTTGACAATATTTTAGAAAACATCTCTTTATAATATTTATAAAATACGGAGTATATCTTATGTGAGTGGTTTTCTGGTACGTCCGGCCGCACCAGAGGGGTCGTCCGGCCGACGGCGTTTGGCCGCCTTCCCGGTGGAATTTTTTGTTGAAATTTTTATGGCATGTTTTTCATCAAGTCTAGTTTATTCACCAAAAAATTAAGCTAAAAAATCAATCCGGAAGGTAGTCTTCAAATGATTTTTTGAAGTTAACTGTGCAAAATTACACACAAAAAACGCAGTCAAATTCAAAAAATCATTTGACGACCTTCCAGATTGATTTTTTAGCTGAATTTTTTGGTGGATAAACTAGACTTGATGAAGAACATGCCATAAAAAAATTCCACCGAGAAGACGGCCAAACGCCGTCGGCCGGACGGCCCCTCTGGTGCGACCGGTCGCACATGAATATTACTCTAACTTATGTATCGTACGAGAGTACAAAACTAGTTTATACGAAGTATATAAGAATGGTACGGAGTCATTCTTTTGTCCATTGCAAGTAATTTATATGCATTTACATACCTTTGATTCAAGAGTTTTGTTAGCTTCCAACCACAGCTTCTCCTACGCATATACAAGTATTAGAATGGTACATTAGTAGTTAATTATTGTGATGAGAATGTATATACTCCATCCTGAAAAGGTTTGCCAAATTGATTTTTCTTCATCAATGACAATCAAATTTGACCCTTTTTGGAATGGAGGTAGTAGTAACTGAAATTGGAAGTGCAGACTATGTGAAAAAGAATGCACAGTACCTTGGTTTGAAGATCAGAGAGCTGGTCAAGCATCATCTGTGTCTGCAACATAAAAGGAATGAAGTTCGACTATAAACAAAGTGCGTGTATATATTTATATCTCAAAGCAAATTAAGTCCATAAAAATTACCCTAGATTCTCAGTAAAAAAGGTCCATTCCACCTTTTCTTTTACTTAAGGTTGTCTTTTCTGATTTTACTCTCTCCTCATAGTAGAGTTTAGAAGTTCAACTTTTTATCAAGTATCTTTACAAAAAATTAAAAGATGCAACAATTTTACAATGGATACATAATTTCACACGCTTAGCAAGCTAGCAAAGAAATAAAATTACAGCCCAATTACATTTAAACTAGGTTAAAAATTTATATCAGGTTCGGAACATTGCTTTTCATTCTCAGATCCACTAATTTATTTTATGATATATCCAAATTGAATAAGTGCGGGTCTAGAATAAGCTTTCCAGTTTCAGACGCAATGGATTGGATAGATCCATTTAGATTGAGATTCACATAATCATAAGTTTTTAAGCAAATCCAAAGACAAAGTTTAACTACTAATTATGATCATGTAAATATGTAATAGTAATTTCGATTTGAAAACATCTACATAGTATAAGTTTGTACACCAAATAAAATTCTTTATCACACACTATTAGAATAATATAACCTACCACATTCATTGGAGATTTATGTGTGCGCGAGTGCAATATCTATGTGTGTTGTATGTATGTATTTATAACTCTTACTACCTCCGTCTCGAAAATATTTGCCAAATTGACTTTTCTTGCTCATCAGTTCATTTTTTGAGAGAAAAGATAAATGCAATCTAAAACTTCATGCGACGGTCGATCAATGGAAAAAATATGACCCAATAATTAGGCTATATATGTTTGAAAAAATGAGTTGATGATGGGTCTATGATCTAACTTAGAGATTTTCCAAAATTTAAATGCTAACTAAAGAAGATAGGCTTGTTTGTAGCACATCTGAAAATAATGGTTGGAAAATGTGACATTACCATAAAAATAAATGTTTTAATATGAACAAGGTAAACTTTGCATAATGGGAGAGTAAAGTGGACATAAATCACATAAGGTGGAGACATATAAAAGGGCTAAAGTGAAACCTTAAAATTGATAGTTTCAAATCCGCTAATCAATTTTAGGTCTAGTCAAGACCCGTCATTCATCCAAACAAAGTTACATGTCAATTAGTTATCAAGGTTTATGAAATTTCAACTCATTTTGAGCTGAAGTGTGGTCATCCAAACATAGCCTTAATATGCATAGCCTTAATATGCATGTATTGAGTGCAACTATTAATTATATTACTATTATGAATTCATGATAAGGAATTGATATCAAATTGGGAAAACTAAAGTGGTTTACTTACCCTTGTGGACCTAATATGCTTCAACGACGTATCCAGTTGATGCTCAAGGTGCTCAATCTCATCTATATTTAGAGGTCCCAAGTCTTCACCAAGAAGGTGTCTGTCATTATATCAATTAATTAACAATGGTAAAACATACTAGTATTAATTAAGATACGTAGTACCTTCATCATGCATATAATAACTAATAAGTACAACCAACTCTTTAAGGGATCCTAACATGTCTTGCATGGCCTAATGGTTAATAGAATCATCATTCGGAGTAATAGTAATACCTTTGGTATCGTTGCAGAGACTCATATTTCCCTTTCAGTTTTAAGTATTCCTTGTAGCTACTTTGCTGCACAAGATGTATGTGCATTTATAGACCGGAAATGATTGACATGATTTATTATTTACTCCGTATAAGCAAACAATTATACTCCATTAGTAAATATACTCCGTAATTATAATTTAAAAGGTCAGGTAAGGGAATTTTATTTGTTCCCTTGGTCCATAAATAAATTCTTAATTAGTTCAATTTTTTCCTTTAAAACCATCAAATTTGACTATTAAAGTTGTATAACATGTTACATATAATATGAAAGTAATTTTGACAAATTGGTGTTAATGTATGCTTTTGATAAATTATTTTGGCATGTTTTGTAATTAATACCATAGATAAAAATAGAAGAAATTCAAAGACTGGAGTTTATTATATTGACAGAGGGTCTATAAAGTACCTCAATGTCTCTGTTAGGGCGATTAACTTCCAGTGTACCATAACTGCATTTTTGATACCTTTCAAGAGTCTTGAGCATGCTACAAAAAGGAATTAATTCGCGCAAGAAAATGCAAACCAAAATTAGACATGGGTGTATTCATGCGCTTATTAGATACACAAAGATTTGCTTGAACGCACACACTAAATTTGTTCTAATAATTGTCTTTCAATTTTATTTTCATTTTCTTTATTTTTATCCTCAATGAGTGCAATAAACATGTTGTGTAAAGACCAATTTTTTGTAACACAACATAAATTAATTTTGTTTTGTGGACATAGTATCCCATTACAGAGTTACAGTGCACATGGTTTAACATCAAATAATTAAGTTACATTTATCTTTTAAAAAAAGCATACATTTTTTTTAAATTTTACTAAAATAGAACAAATAGTATAGATTAAAATGACATAAGTGTCAGTGCAATACAAAATTGAATATTAGTGTCATAAATTCCGCTTCAGACTTTCAGTGTGTACAAGAACACATTTTTACTTACCATTTTGAGTGTAGTCATATATTTCACATTTAAGCTCCTTTATACTAGTATTTAATTTAAACTAAATACCCAAAGATCTAATCTTTAAATGCTTTCTAAAATTTAATCTCTTACGTATAAATAAACTTATTGATTAATAAGGACTCATCATTTGGGGTTGTAGGACAAATGGACTTCGACTGTTCGACATCCTAATTAATTGCATATTGTTGAATTCTTCAAACAAAACACCAAATTTCAGAAGAGAACGCGAAAAACTCTAGCTACTTATTTAGTTCCCCCCAAAAAATCGCACTTATTTAGTCTTTATTATCTAGCCTCAGTCATATATATTCATAGTTTCCCTAACAAATAAGAAGTTAGTTCTTGGAGTAATCAGTCCTCAAATTTAACTAGACCTAAATTAAACAAGGTTTAATTTCAGGTCCAAATGAAAAATAACTAACCTAGAGATAGTATAGCTAAGCCAAACTTATTAAACAACATCAGATCTATGCATGCATCTCTGATCTGAAGATGGGAAAATGAGAGGAAAAGAAGCTAAGGAGGCCAGGGTAGGTATGGATTAGATACACAGACATACTTGGAAGTACTACAGAACTCATAGAGCTTGCCCCTGTTGGAGAAGACGATGAGTGCCACCTCAGCATCACAAAGGACAGAAAGCTCATAAGCTTTCTTTAGCAAACCGTTTCTCCTCTTCGCAAAGGTCACCTGTCGGTTTATCTTGTTCTCTATCCTCTTCAGCTCCACTCTCCCCCTTCCCATATCGATCTCTCGGATCCGATCGATTGATAGATAGATCTCCCTTTCTCTCTTCGGCCGATCGGTAATGATCAAACAAAGCAATCTACTACCTAAAACCTAGCTAAGCTACAATAAGAGCATCATCAATCTCTCTTTTTCTTTTTCATTCATCGTCTAATCGATCGAAATTGAAACCCTAGCTAGCTAGGGGCTACTTTACTCTGAGTGAGAAATGGGAATCTATATATTTGTGGGATAACTGATAGAATGGATTATTATTGAGTGGTTGCTTTTTAATTAATGGATTTCTTCTTCTTCTTCCTCTTTTTGGATTCCTTGTTTTAACCTAAGGATTGGCCTGTGGTGTCCATTTCTAGATATCTGGTTTTCTAGCTGCTAGGGTTGGTGTTGGGTTTCCACTTTCAATAAGCTCCATTCCATTAATTAACTCTTTCACGATCTCTCCTCTTCTCACTTGGTTACTGACGCGTGAAGTTCACGCATGGGCTCTTTTCCCTCCGTGAGTGACACGCGGGTAGACTGGATGCTGGTTGGGAAAACGAGTGGACTGGGGGACCACGCTTATAATAATATTACGCTCGTGAAATTAAAATGAAAAATCAGATCAGAAATGACTTCTGGGAATCTTATTATGGTGTCTGCCTGCGTGTCGCTTTCTGTGTGGGTTTGATTTTTTAATTACCGAGCCAAAGAATTAGATTTCAAGGAAAATAACATTTTTAGTCTCTGAAATAATCAATATATTAAAATGTCAGACCATTATTTCCGAGTTTACAAATGTCACTCCTCAATTGTCTAAATTATTGTAAATGTATGTGGTTCTTTGAGCGATGAGATGTATAATGTGGACGAGGAATACATTTCAATATGACGACTATTTCAGAGAGCAAAAGTGCGATTTTTCCTAAATTTTAATTTCATTTGATTAATCACTGCTTTGGTACTTTAAGATATCATGACTTAAAAACGTTTCTTCAAATAAAGGTTCAGACCCTCTTCGTAAGCATGCATACTCAGTGGAGGACCTAAGGGGGGCTAGGGGGTATGTGCCCCCGCTTCGGTCTCAAAGTTTTTATTATAGACTAAGTTTAGTGTCTAGTGTGTTTACGCTCCCACAAATCTCCGGGTCCGCCACTGTGTATACTATCTCGTGTTTATACACACCGTCCTATCGCGAGCATCGTTCTATGCAAGTTAGGATTTCAAACCCTACTTATAAACACGCATAGTATTTATTTCGTTGATTTTCACTTCTCATTATCACTTTCACATTCTCACCCAATTTGGATAGACATACCGAAAAGGCTCAAGCCATTTGTATGGCGTTTTTATGCTTTTAAAATTTAAATAGATTGAGTTGACGTCACAGAAAAGCCCTTCCTTTGTGTTAACGCGTTTTATTTGTTGTTTTAAAAGATTTTTCTGTTTTTGTATATCACAATGGATGAATGGATACCATTTTTCTTAGCGACCCATTTTTTGTGATCTATTCTCGTCTACATAAGTGTTGCAAAGGTTAATAAAATTAAATGTGCGCATATCACTGTCATGACATCGTCTCCATCAAACTAAATTATATAGTATGATATGTTGGAAAATATTCCATTTAAATGACTTGGACCATTTATATAATTTAATATATATTGGGGACATTTATGTCTTACCATTAAGTTTGCCATATGACAGATTTGGTCCTTGTATTTATGTATAGTTAACATATGATGAGTATGTTTTAACATTAAATAATACATAAGGGATCAAATGAGTTTCTCTTATATACAAAATATAAAAGGCATACGCCCATTCAATTCTAACGACTAAACGAACGTACACGTTCATTCCCAAGGGTCTCAAGAACACCTATAATAAGAGACCCAAGGGAGAATCGTTTAATCCATCGAAATCTGTTTGTATCCTTAGAGAATCCAAAGACATCATGGCTTCATCATCTTCGCCATCAACGTTTGGTTTCTTCTCAACCGGTTAGTGTTCTTATTGTTTGATTATATGAATTTTATCATGTTTAGATGAGATAATCCTTAATTGGGATTGAATTTCTCATCATTTGGTATCAGAGCACGTTAATTCTCGCTAACATTGATAAAATTCGAAGTTTTAATTGTCATAAGCAATTTATCCTTTTTGCCGTTCATGACCTTATGCATGTTGACAACCACCGGTTGAACCCGATTGAGAATTACGCAAGTTTCTGAAAGCAACAAATTAAGTTTTAATATCTTTAAACATTGTCTTCCGTACTCGTATGTTCCGTAATAAAGTTTTGATGTGTTATTAGTTTTCCAGAATTGAAACAGATATGGGGAACCATGTTTTACTCAAATATATATCTTAATACAATGGCCAATCATATATTTACTTAAGTTGAACTATGAATTACGTATGTTTTACACTCACTTGTATTCTTGTAATACTATGCAATTTGCTGCCAAAATAAAAGGTGTTTCTATGCTTTTTGATTTGTATTGCAGCAACTTCAAAATTTCTGCCATATTGAAATCATAGTATGGATTATTGATTAATGATCTTAATGTCAAATTCAATGATTGGCCCAACAGAAGATTATTGATTTTGACTATCTTAAATACTTGTATGAGTTTTTCTTTTAACAAACCCAAAGGTGTGTTACTTGATAACTTGTATAATGAATTTTAAGCGTAATCAAATGTGTTATATTTCTGCCCAAAGGTGATATGTGACACAATTTGCAGCCTAATTTTAATTTTAATATCATAATATTTGATAATTAACATTAGCCAACGCAATGTTAGTTATTAAACACGATATGATTTTTTCCTATTATTTGGTGTTGATAATAGGCTTATTTACTAATGATTGACATGCCTTATTGTATTCCCTTATATATTATAATAATAGCTTCTATTATTACCTCTGTTAAAACTTTTATTTCAGCATCTACTCTTACCCCATACAATTATGGGATAGAACCTCTAAATGGTACAAACTTTTTAACATGGAGAGAATCCGTAAAACTCTCACTTGGCATGATGGACCTTGACCAAGCGCTGAGAACTGATCCACCAGATGCTCCTAACGCTGAGAGCACTGTGGAACAGAAACGTTCTTATGAACAGTGGGAGAGGTCCAACCGAATGTGCCTCATGATAATCAAGAATTCCATATCTGTAGCTATTCGCGGAGCCATTCCAGACTCTGAAAATGCGAAAACATACCTAGAATATGTGGAAGAACAATTTAAGGGCACTTCTAAAGCACATGCTAGTACCTTAATTCTCAAAATGTTGACAAGTAAGTATGATGGAGTGAGTGGTATTCACGAGCACATCATGAAAATGTCTGATATGTCCAATAAGCTCAAAAGTATGGACATGGAGATCAGTGAAGGTTTCCTCGTTCATTTCATAATGACTTCTCTGCCTGCATCTTATGGTCCGTTCAAGATCAATTACAACACGCAGAAAGAGAAGTGGACAATGAGCGAGTTGATTGCTATGTGTGTTCAAGAAGAAGAGCGTCTAAAAGTTGAAAAACCAGATGTTGCTCATCTCACCACCACAAACTCAAAGAAAAGGAAAGGCAATCGTCAAGGAGGAAAAGGTAACATTTCTAAGGTCCCAAAGATAGGTGCAAGCGTGAGCTCCGGTCCTTACTGTAAGTTTTGTCGCTTCAAAGGGCATTACCAGAGGGAGTGCCCTAAGTTTAAGGCACGGCTGACTAAGAAAGGTAACTTAACCACCTATGTAATTTATGAATCATTAAACACATCAATTCCCCTTAATACTTGGTGGAATGACGCTGGTTCAATGGTTCATGTTTCAAACACACCGCAGGGATTCCATTCAATCCGAACATTGGGAAGAAAGAAAAGAGTGATTAAGGTGGGCAACGGAGAAGAATTAGAAGTGGAGGCCATTGGAACTATCTCATTAATTTTAGAGAGTGGCTTCATTCTTCATCTTCGTGATGCTCTTTATGTACCTAATATTACTCGTAATTTAGTGTCTGTATCGAAACTAAGTGCTGATGGTTTTACATTTAATTTCGTGTACAATAAAGTGACAATAAGCTTGAACTCAAATGTAATAGGATTTGGTGGCATGGAGGGAAATCTATATAAATTATGCTTAGATACTAATTTTATGGAATCTCCTTTGTCATTTAATATAACTGAAAATCCTTGTAAGAGAAAGAGAGAATTGGAATCGTCGTCTAATTTGTGGCATCAAAGGTTGGGCCACATATCACGAGATCGAATGATAAGACTCGTGAAAGACGGAATTCTTCCAAATCTTGACTTCTCAGATTATGACAAGTGTGTGAAGTGTTTGAAAGGGAAATTGTCTAAGAAAATTAAGAAAGGCGCCACACGAAGCACTGGTTTGTTAGAATTAATACACACCGATATTTGTGGGCCTTTTCCCGATTCCATAAGAGGTCATAAGTCCTTTATTACTTTCATAGACGATTATTCACGCTATATGTACCTATATTTGATTAAGGAAAAATCCGAATCACTAGATATGTTCAAGGCTTATAAAGCTGAAGTTGAAAATCAACTTGATCGAAAAATCAAAGTAGTGAGATCTGATAGGGGTGGGGAGTTCTATGGCCGACACACTGATATTGGTCAAGCTCCTGGATCTTTCCATGAATTTTGTAAAGATCACGGGATCATCAACCAATATACCATGCCTGGCACCCCTCAACAAAATGGGGTTGTCGAAAGGCGGAACAGGACTCTTATGGATATGGTCCGAAGTATGTTGGCAAACTCTAATCTTCCCCTATTCTTATGGACCGAGGCCTAAAAAACAACAACCCACATACTGAATATAGAGTACCATCTAAATCTGTCCCTAAGACTCCATATGAGCTTTGGACGGGCAAGAAACCTAGTCTATGGTACCTAAAAGTGTGGGGTTGTCCGGCTGAAGCAAAAGTGTATAATCCTCAATTGAAGAAACTTGACATGAGAACCATCAATTTTTCCTTTATTGGCTATCCCGAGAGATCTAAGGGATATAGGTTCTATTGCCCATCTCATACCACCCGAATTGTCGAGACTCGACATGCTGAATTCCTTGAGAATACTAACATTAGTGGGAGTAGTAGTGGTTCAAACTTCTGTGATGAACTTCAATAGGGCAATGGAATAAATCCACTTAATATACTGCCCATTCCAGCTAACTCCTCACTTGAAGATCATAGTGAAAGTCATACACCTCATAATAATGATGCAACAAGTCAAGAGGCGAATGAAATTCCAATCAATGTTGAACCAACTCCACCGGTTACTAATGAAATTCCGGAAAATCAGCAACCCTTAAGGAGATCTCAAAGGGTCAGACGCCCCACAAATTTTGACGAATATTTGATATATTTGAATGAAGAAGCCGA